TCCTCATTCATCCTATCTCACACACTCATAGGGACCCTCCCCTGCCATTCCCACCAGCCAGTAGGGAGCTCCCCTCATTCACCCATCCCCAATTCCTTCTCTAGCTCTTACTCAGAAGGAGGAATCAGTCCTTTCATAATAGCATTGCTGCAGTTAGGGGAGCCATGTTGTTTCTTTCCTCCTTATCAAGAATACCCAGAAAGAGGGCAAAGTGACCTCTGCGTAGGGAAGAGGGTCCACAGTAGAATGCCACTCTATTGTAGCCCTCATCCTCTAAACCCCGATTCAAACAAAGCCTCAAGGTCCAGAGCATATAGGCAAGAAAGAACTGGGCAAAGGAGTTTGGCATGTTTTGCCTGGAGAACAGCATTTAAGTAGCTGTTAACAGACCAATTCTTGCATGAGAGATTTATATAGAATCTCAAGATCATGATGGCTGCTTTGTACACGCTGCCACTTGGGGACATATTTCCTATGAACCTCCTTTGCTTTTTATCTTAGAAAGCCTTTGATTCTTCTGGAGATGAATTATCTCAAAAAGATATTACCACTAAGGCATTCAATTAGGTCTGGCATTCCTTTTTAGAAGGAATGTGGTAAGCTACATTTCACATTGTTTAAGATAGTACAGAAAATCTTATTATAATACGTCGGTTCGGGAGCAGCTATATTCATAATATGGCAGATAATACAAAAGATATGCAGGTAAGATAATGTAAATAAGGATGATGCTATTGTTTTTATTCATAGAATGATCATGATAGATAATGATAAAAAATTAAAATAAAATAAATAACAAAAATAGTCAAAATCATGATTAATAATTCAAACAAATCAGTTATGGGTAAGGAGAAAAATTTCAACTCCTTTCTTAGGAGCCGAAAGTATGGAAGCAACTTAAAAATATCACTGAATGTTATTCTGATTCTACAGATTTACCTCCATGTTTGAATTCATGAGCGATATAATAATAATTTATTAAATTTGTATGCTGCCCAACCCTCAATGTCCCCAGATGTCTCACAACAATTAAATAAATTACAATAAAACATTTTTAACAAATTCAAGATTTGTTAGAAATTCCAAGATTCAGCTTTCAGTTTTCTGTTTCATCCCTTTTCTATATTTTGCAATTTCAAACATATTGTGATTAAAACTGATTTTTTAAGGAAGATATTCTACTCTTAGGCTGAGACTTGCAAGTCTTAATTTTAAATAGATAGTAAAGCCTAAATGTACTTCTTGCTTGAATCACAATGGGCACATTTAGAGAAACAAAACATTAAAACTACAGTATATAAATTCATAATATAGGAAAGGCAATGTGGCTAAGATCATTTTCTTTGGCAGTCATCAGTTTTTCATCCCACCACCTGACTTCATCTTTTACAGGATTATTTGAATATATCTCAAAAAATTGAGGGGAGTGGAGTGGTGAATCCAACTGGCAGTGAAACATCAGCTGCCACCATCAGCCTCATGTACCAGAAGGACTTCATAGGCATTGTTAATTTTTTTTTCTTAAACATGAACAAATTCAAGACAGTACTTGACCTGAAAGTATGCCTCTTGCTCAGAAAGAAAAAAAGATAAATTGAGGTGATAAGATAGCAGGAATGAGTACGAGAGAAGTGATTAGAAGGATGATGAGAGACAATCTTGGCATTTTGACTTCAGCTAAATAAAGTTTTAGGACTTACCATATATATCTTGTCAATCTTTTCATTAACAAGTAAGCTTCCATACTGCAGCTATTTTGTACCATGTTTCCACGAAAATAAGACCCAACCAGAAAATAAGCCCTAGCATGATTTTTAGTGTGAGTCTAATATAAGCCCTACCCCAAAAATAAGCCCCAGTTAAGAGCCCTTGTGACCGCCTGCCCACTCCATCCCACCATCTGCTTGTGGCTGCAACAGGGCAGGAGGTTGCGCAGCACGCCATTGTTGCCACTATGAGGTGAGGCAAGGAAGGTGGCAGGGTGGAGCTGCCCCACGTGCCCCACACCCGTGCACCTCAGGGCTCCCACAGCCAGGCCACCCATGCTCTGCCACCAGCAATGGCACCAGCAGCAGCAGCAGCCCCATCCAGCAGGAGCCCAGGCACCCACCCACCCCCCACCTGCCTCTCCTCACCTCGAGGCAGCAGCACCAACACGCCATGCAGCCTCCTGCCCCATTGCAGCTGCAAGCAACCAGATGATGGGACGGAGTGGGTGGTGGCCATGTGGCACATTCGGCAGGGCTCAGCCCAGCAATAGCAGTGCTCACACTCACCTGCACTGCGTGGGCTTCACAGCCCCAGAGTACACTGGCCAAGAGGCTACCGGGGTGCAGCTGCTGCCGGACACCTTCGGCCCCCGTGCACTCGCCACATGGAAAAATAAGACATCCCCCAAAAATAAGCTCTAACAGCTCTTTTGGACCAAAAATAAATATAAGACGTGATCTTATTTTCAGGGAAACACGGGTAATAATGTGACAACATCAGATTATTGAATCCCTCAAATTGCCTAACCTTATCTGTCTATTGTAAAACTTTATATAATGCTATAGATTACTATATGCAAATATTATTTGGTCAATTTTAGATTTACAAATCTCAGCTCAGTGTAGATGAGAAATAAAGTATATATTTATTGTTGCTTTTATCTTTATTAATCTACCAATGGATAATGCATGTTGCATTTTATCTATAAAGATTTGTAATTTCTAAATATAATTTAAACCTAAACCTGGGTCACATTAGTGGAATTCAATACTTTTCACATTATGATCATTTAAAATATCACAATGTGCTGCAGATTTTGTACATACTTTATTTTAAAAAGGCTCTTTGATCATCTTGTGGAGGCTTCTGGGTCGAGAAAAAAGGATGGCATTTTCCTTGTGCCTTCCTTCTAAATCTTCCCCAGAAGTCTGGGAAATGGGGAATTAGAAAAAAATGGAATTTGCACAGTCATTTCCCTCCCATTCTCCAAAGCTGCAGCACTGACAAAAGCCTTCCATGAATAGAAAGAGATCATAAATCCTGCAGTGGTTACAAGGTTTTGCTTTTTCCTTTTATTTGCTAAGGCTTACTTTTGTGTAAACTTTTTGAGTGTGTTTCTCGCTGAGCCGTTCTAGAGCATAGTGAACTGCTCCTCTGAGAGTAAATGTATCAAAGCGTCAGGCCTAGCCAAACCTGACAATTTTTAAATTGATATATGTGTCATGAAGAGTAGTAAAGATAAATGAGAGAAAAGGTGGCCATGTGTATGTGATTGGATGTTTCCCCTGTGCCCCTAGAACTTTCCATGTTTCTATTAAATTATCTTGCATTTAATGTTTTTGGGTTAGAAGATCATCTTTTGACATGAGTTTCTGGGGACGTTTTCCCTGCTTAAAACCTACCAAACTTCCAGCTCCACCTATTTTTTTCCTTATATTTTTAATGGAAAAGCATTACTTAAGAAACTGACAAGCTGAGAAGCACCGATCTCCAGCATAATCTTTATTTCAAAACAATGCCTCTGAATTCTGTGTAGGCCCCATTAAAGTTAAAATGGTGAGTAATCAAACACAATGTGTTGTTCAAAAATGTGTCCATCGTTCAAGAAAAAATGTGGAGGTAAACTAAACTAATAGAAACCATTAGAGAATGGAACAGTTACGTGGATACAGCTGAGGATGATTTAACCCAATCTCATTCATGGATGGAGGAGGAAGTGAAGGCAACATCCTGGGGGAAATGCAGAAAAAGAAATGTTGGCAGAACATATTTCTGTAATGGTTAGGTGGGATGGGGAAAAGGTCCTATAAACTAGACTTTCTGTTGTCATATTCCTGAAATGAACTGAAAGTCAGTAGAAATAGTGAAGAGGGAAGAAAAAACATTTACCTGATTGATGCTGGTTCCAGTCTTAAAGTGCTATTACATTTGAAATAAATTGTGTACAAATCCTGGAACAAAGTAACAAAAGCTAGAATTCAACAAACCATACAACAAAGTTACAACTATAAGTAACTTCGTAACCAGCAGTGGTAGCATAATAAATGAATATATTGATATCCAGAATATAAGTATAGTTATTTAAAAAGATACTTCGGACAGATTGGTTAAGATTGTTTAAATCTAATTTTCCTCATTGTGATTAAGGTTCCACCCAGATTCATGAAATAGATGATGTGATATATGACACAAAAGAATTATAGAGGCAAAGAAAAACATGCAGAGAGCAAAGGAAGGGCAATCTATGGTCAGAGGTATCAGAGAATCTAATGGTTTCATTAGAATGATGAAACAAACATTGCAGCATCACAACAACACAAACAGCAGATGTACAAAAGGGACAGAGCTTTAGTTGCATTGGTACAAAGCTCATTTCATTGCTACTCTTCCCCCAACATTTCTATCTGTGGGAGCTTGAACTAGGTTTTAGGGTGTATGGAATATTACTTAATTTATCTGAGGATGTAAATACGTTTTCTTTCTCTTGGGATAAGTAATTTCTTCATATGTATTTCCTTTGGCCAGTGTTTTTTCATGATATTGACCAGAGAAAGTAATGTATGCTTTCATCTCCAGTAAAGAGCATCCATAACCAGAGAAGCTTCTGCTGAGTTGGTGCTCATATAAAATATACCTTCTTTTCTAGCTCATTCAAGAGAGGAATGCAGCATGGCAGCTGTGTTCTTAGCTACATTCGTAATGTATTCCTGAGTTCATTGCGAAAGGAGGGAGTCTTGGTTGGTTGTAACAAGATGTTCTAATCCATAATTTAGGCATAGAGCAAATGAAAGAAGAGACTGGTATATGTATCAACAGTTTTCTATATCCCATAGTTTTGTAAGTGTTGTAGAAAGGTGCACTGGATAACCAGTCTGATAGGATATAATTCTACTTCTCTAGTTAAATAATCTGTCTCTGTAACTTTATCCCATGCTTCAAAAAATCAGGCTGGCTTTTATTTTCTTGTAAGGCTCCCCTAATGTTGTTATACTGGTTCTATCTCTCTCCAGACCATTGCCGATACAAGTCCCATGAAACGCTCTGCCTCCATGTTGGGCCACTCACGTTCCAAAGGTACACGCATGGATGATTACTCTCTAGAAAGAGTAATTCCAGAGGATGGCCAGCGACATCACCGCCGACGGGAGCGGACCCACCGTACATCAGAACGTTCACTGAGTCGATACATTGATGTGGACACAGGTAAAAACAATTCAAGACAAATGGAAGTCTATCCTGGGGAATGGGAACCTGTGGCATTCCAGGAAGCTATTTCTCTTTTCCTCTCAGGTGGACGTAATTTCAAAGAAAACCCTGGGTGTCAGTCTCCCACAGTTTTTATTTTCTAAGAAAGCCTATGAGGCCCAGGCAGGGTTTATTGATAATTTTGAAAAGGAAAAAAAAATGCTTGAGAATAATTCTTTGTTCTGAATATACTAGCTTCCCATCTCTTGTATAACTAACTCCATCTAAAATGTCTGAATGTGGAGTAATAAAAACCATTCCTCAAGAGTCTTCACAGGTAGTCCTCGATTTAAAACCACAATTGAGACTGAAATCTCAGTCACTGAGTAAAAGAGTAGTTAAATGAGATATCCGTGTGATTGATTCGCTTAATGACCATAATCACAGTATTTCCAGTTTGGTTGATAAGCAATCTCACTAGTTATTAAGCAAACAAAGTCTCAGGTAAGGAGTAGGGTGTGCCTTGGGGTTGCGGGAGATCCTGGGAAGTTCATTCTCAGGAGCTGAAAAGCCTCCCTGCCTAAATCAACAGAATGTACAGCCCTTAAGTAAAGAGACACTCACACACAGCCTATGTCAGACACCGCAGCCCACCCACTTGAGGGACTCTTACTACCTTGCTTCTCCACTGTGTGCTTTCAGCTCCCTCTCATATTGGGGCTGGCCAAAAGAGCAGTTCCCCTCCATGCACAAATAACTGCTTTGATGGGGTACAGGAAAGAAGCTGAAATCTTCAGGATTTCAGCTTTGTTTTTGTAACCCACTAAAGGAGCTTAGATATCCTCTGTGCACAGGAGGGAACTCCTTTGGCGGGGTGTTTGAATGGAGCTGAAATCTTAAGGATTTCAACTCCCCTCAGCAGGCAGCTCTTTCAGACAATTCCAGAGACGAGAGGGAGTCCCTCTTGGCAGAAAGCCAGAGTTTGCAATCTTTCCTACTAGCTTCCCCATTGACTTTCTGGCAGAGAAGGTTGTAAATGACAATCACAGGAATGCAGGGCACTTGGCAACTGAAGTAGTGAACCAAGGTGCCAAGTACCAAATCACAATCAAGTGATTGCAGAGGTGATGATGCAATATTTTGCAATGGCCAGAAGTATCTTATGGGCCGTAAAGCATTTTTTCTGAGACCATCATACTTCCAGAGTTCCAGACTGTTGTTAAACAGCACTACCCATATTCCTTTTTCTGGGATGGGAAGCTAGTCTTCCCCAAATGCTGGGTCACATAACGTTTAGTGAAACCACTAAACTGGTTAAAATTGAGGGGAGTTGAAGCTCAGCATTTTGTTAGAACCAAACCATTATACGACAATGTGTGAATCAAGCCATCATGCTGAACTACAATATAGTCTCATTTGTTTGGACACTGCGTAAGATATACTCTTTTTTTTCATTTTTCTGTTTCCTATTCTTAAGAGATGTAAGCTACCCAGAGTTCCTGGGAGTCACATAATGCAATAAAATAAATATTATGTGAATAGAGTTAATATGTTTCTTTAATGCCAATTCAGTATTAGTCTGGGCTGTATGAAGTTAGCCAGTGGAAACATGTACAGCCTACAAGCAACTTTCAAATATTTCATCAGCTAAGCATCTGACTTGGGGGTTCACTGAACAGCAATCCTAATTTGGCTGCATGGAGGTCCAAGTTCAGACATTAAACCAATTTATTGAATTATTTTCCTTGATTAAATGCTCACTTGAGAGAAGATAACCTAGAAAAGCAATTTACTCTGTAGAAAGTACTATATGCTTTGGAGTCTAAGTCTTGGACACCAAAGTATATAATGATTATCTGTTTGACTATCCAAACCAAATAAAATGTGCTTTCAATGTTTTTAGTATTTTGTCATACTTTCCTCTTTTTTTTTTTTTTGCTGCCTTGTTACACAGAGCATTAACAGGTTTTCTTAATATCTTCCATATCATTGATTTAGAACACTGTTTCCCAAACTTGACAATTTTAAGGCATGAGGACTTCAACTCCCAGAATTCCACAGCCAGCAACGCTGGCTGTGGAATTCTGGGAGTTGAAGTCCACATGCCTTAAAATTGTCAAGTTTGGGAAACACTGATTTTTAGAACAAATGCATTGGATTTTAAATTGTTTTGTTTTTCTCACCGGCAGGTCTGGGTACAGACCTCAGTCTGACTACACAGTCAGCTGACCTACCTCCGAAAGAAAGGGATCAAGAGCGAGGCAGGCCTAAGGATCGGAAGCACCACCACCATCACCACCACCACCATCACCATCACACATCTTCTGACAAGGAGCGATATTCACAAGAGAGGCATGAATATAGCCGGCCTCGATCCAGAGATCGACGTTGGTCCCGTTCACCCAGTGAAGGCCGAGAACATGTGCCTCATAGGCAGGTTGGTATGGCTTTCCATTCCATATTGTGCTTCTAAGGACTGAAACAAGTCCCTTTAGTATTGAGAAATGCCTATTTGCTTCAAGAGTGTCAAACTCCAGTTATCCATCTAGTTGTGTAAACATGCTAATACTGATTAGTCAGCCCTGTTCTACAATTTTGGTTCAGTATGGAAATTGTCTTGCAGGATTATCTAGTTTTTGCCAATCAGTTTCTGAAAGATCACAGCCACTTTTTGCAATTATAACTATCCCTGCCAGTTCTCCTCTGCAGCATCTGGTACTCAAAAGTATATTTTCAGGATATGGAAATAGAACAGCTTCACAGTAAGATAAATTAATGCTATTTTCTCAATGGTAGAAGCAGAGATAGAAATAGACAACAAGGTATTGGTATATAAGATCTGTGTGAGATACACTGCCTGACTGCCTGCACTCCTGAGGTTCATCTGCAGATTTATTTATTTATTTATTTATGAGACTTATATACCACTTTAAGTGCAAGCACTCTCTAAGCGGTGTACACCAGTAAGCAATGTATATATATATATATATATTTACATTGCCCCCAACAATCTGGGTCCTCATTTTACCTACCCCGGAAGGATGGAAGGCTGAGTCAACCTTGAGCCGATGAGATTTGAACCACTGACCTGCTGAACACAGTCAGCTAAAGTGGCCTGCAGTACTGCACTCTAACTGCTGCACCACCTCGGTTCCCGATTCCATTGCCAGTTTTAAAATAAAACAATCTGCCAGTTTACTGAATTTCTGTACATAAAATGAGAGCAAGACAATTATTTTGTCTTCCTTCTTAAACAGCACGGGATTTCCATTTAGCTATCATAGCTAACAATTCTTGATAGATATGAACTTGGTTCATCTTTGTGCTTCTTCGGCCTCCAGATTTATATCCTTCAGCTATAGTATTCATTTCTGTTTTGTTTTTGCTTTTCTTAAACTAAAAATACTCAATTAATTTATCCTCCTAGTTAATCTGCCGGTACACTGATGGTTTTAATTATTTGTATTCTTTGCCCATGTTATTTTTTTTAACAGCAGGATATCATAAGCTTGCTGTTTTAAAATGAATTCATAAAAAGACATTTGGAGTATTGTAAGACAGAGTTTGTGACATCCCAACTGCCAAATGTATATCCAAATGGCCTGTGTCTCCAAGGGTGAACACTTAGGCATTCGTTACATTTATGAGATGGCTTGAGGATTATTCAGACTGTAGGTTTACGTATTTAATTTTTGCTCAGAACTGATTTTATTTTTGGAACAACAAAAAGCATGATTGGCCCTGGACAGAACAGATGGAACCAGTGAGATTCCCTTGCCTAATCTTACCAAATAAACAAATAAACTATGATTGACTCCATTGACTGAGAAAATCAGTTCGGGCTACCTTAAAAATGGCAATCTTTCTAGTATTTAATCCTCAGCCAGTATTGCAATTTTCAGATTTAGGGAGCCAGCTGTGAGCAATTTTCATTGTTTTTTCAAAGTCAACTTAATTCAATTCAATTTTGTAACAGTTCATAGGTTGGTACTCATGGTAATATATATAGATCAGGTTCATATAGACTGTTTTCAACTTGTAGATCTCAAACTTGTGGAAAAGAGTGTGAAATAAAAACTACCACTTGTCTGCTAAACCCATACTTCCCCTGGCTGATTAAAGCAGCCCGATTGTGATTGGTTTTGTGGCTGGAGATGTAATTAGCATTTGAAGTGGGGTGACATCAGTATGCTGATGGCACTGAACTCTGTGACTCCTCCTATAAAACAGTCAGGGTAAAAATCTGGTAAATAAATAAAGTGGAACAAAACCAACAGATTATTTTATTTTCATATGACACTCTTACATGTAGCACATGTAGGAGTTATTGGCTACTAAGACTTTGCTACCTTCTGCTGAGATTATGGTTCATAGGCACCACAAGCCTTGAAACTTAGTCCATAGAAATTCGGGGTTCGTGGTATAATTTAAGCTAAGGATTGTCTCTCAGCCTTATTTGGTTGTTGTTTTAATTTAATATTGGAGAAGGAAATAGTATGTATGCTGCCTTGAACTTCTGAGGGAAAGATAAAATATGGCTGACTAATAATAACATCAGCCATTTCTCTTTCTAGAATTTATAGAACTGAATCATAAAAGATCCTATGCTGCTCCATACATTAATTTGACTGAAGTAGACACTGGGTGGGGGTTGTGTGTGAGAGATGAATATAAATAACTACTTTCCCCTGCATTAGTCCTTCTTTGGTTTCCTTACTTTAGATTTCTTAGTACTATGTAAGCAAGAGATCATATTAAAATGGAAAAAAATCATGTTCCAGGAAAAAAAACCCGCCTTTCCAAAAGCTCAATGAAAGTAAAGGAGTGGTTGTAGCTGATGAACCTGTTGAAAGCAGAAAAGGCATTCCTTGTTACATAAATCATTTATGGCTCTAGGAGCACTTGCATATTATGTGTATTTGTCTTTAGAAAGAAGTATAAGCTTGTTTAGAATTTACAACATTTCTAATTCCTAGATAAGGGAATATTATAGTCACAGTGGCTTCATCTTGTTGTCATTCACCTTGTTGGCTCTTATTTAACAGTCAGTGTATCCAGTGCTATTTGAAGATCTACCCAATTTTCCTTGACTAAGACAATATTGAGCTATAGAAATTGATTACATTAGTACATTGAAGATACCTTACTCCAAAACTCCTAATGACACTCACCTATAGATACTGAAGAGAGTTGAATGTTTTCACAAACTTGGACTTATTCAATTCTTCAACTAAATTGAATCACAGAGGAGATTGAGAGGCTTTATTGTTGGATGAAACATTTAAAGTATCTTATCTACAACTTTTGTCTTCGAAAGATAAAACTGATTTCATGATGCAGGATAAGGCAGTTCACTTAAAATCTTATTAGGACTTAGTGGTGATGGGATATGGGGAAAGAACCATGCACAATTCAAGAGTATTTGCAGGTTCCCAGTCAAACAGAATTGGTGCCTATGTTGGAAACTGAGGTCCTAAACACCCTGTCAGCAGTGCAAGAGAACTGGCAATTTTGTCCCTTAAGCAATTTTTAAACATGCTATACTGGATATCTGCGACTATCAGCATATTGTTTTAGTGGTGAATTTTAGGAAGCTTTTTTCTTGCTACACTCCATGCACCCTAATCCTCCATGATTTGTGGTGTTTCAGGAAATCCTGCTTCCCTCTGCTCAGGCTCATGCTGTCAAAAATTAGTGGATTCATTCCATTTTTTGACACATGAAGAGTATCTGGGATGCAAAGCTGAACCTCAGAAGTTTCTTGTGATATTGACCTCTCCAATTCTAAGTTAACACCTTAATCATACCACCACTTGTACTACATAGAACAGTGATGGCGAACCTTTTAGAGACCAAGTGCCCAAACTGCAACCCAAAACCCACTTATACATCGTCGGGTGCCGGGTGGGTGTGGCCAATTGGGTGGGCATGGTTGCGGTAGTAACGGCAGACTGGATGGGACTAAAAATTTCAATCAATCAATTCCAACTTTGCAAGATCTTTTTTTTTTCCCGCAAGAAGTTGAAATTGACTGATTGAACCTTTTTTTTTTTTTTTGCACATGGCGCTGGAGGCCTAAAGCAAAAAGGTTTTATAAAACCCAGCTGAAGGCCTAGGACTGGGGCGACGGTGGGCGTGCCCACAGGGAGGGCTCTGAGTGTTGCCTCTGGCACCCATGCCATATGTTTGCCACCACTGACATAGAAACTGTGACAATATGCTAGAGCCAAGCTGGCTTTTGCCAAGCCTCAAAGGCCTATCTGAGTTTAAATTATTTGTCTCAAGTTTTTTTATTGCTGTTGAGTCAAGGAATGTTCACTTTTTTCTATATGGTGGCATTTATGATTTGAACTGTTAATGTGTTAATTTTTAATTAGATGAACTTTGATTATTGACAAAGCCCTGCTCTGCTACTTCATTCTGAAAGAGAGATATTCCTGGGAGAGATAACTAAAGAAAGCCAGAAGTTTATGGCAAGAGGATATAATTCTAACAGGATCACCCAAGGGGTGAAGATCATCCTAGCTGCCAGCTAAAGCAAATAGGCATCTATGTTAGGCAGCAGCAATATAAAATACGATGAAGACAGAAAATTACTAAAATTTCTAAGACGAAATTGCACTAAATCACTAAACAGCAAATGTATCATTCCATATTGCATAGGACAATGATAAATCATTCCTGTATTTTACCAAGAAGATCACATGGACAGAAAGAATAAAATGATTGACCATTTATGCCACATTATTAGCCCCTTAGGTCAGATGGCACTCAGCAGGAGTGAGGAAGAGCTGAAGATCTTGCACAGTGCTAACAGTGCTTGTGATATGGCTAAATTAAAGCCTTCAGAATGTTTAGTTGTTGACGTTGACGGGAAAGAAAAGAATATCTGAAGCTGCAAAGAAAGAATTACAATGAGAGCAGGAAACATAAGGAACATGAATATGAGAAAGTTCAGCAAAATGAAAGGTCAAATGAATCAACATTTGACATTATAGCCATCAGAATACTGAGATGGGATGGAATACAATTGGAAAGTTTTACTTAAAAGATCTCACTGTTTATAATTTCAGGATATTTAAGACAAAGAAGAAATGGCATCACTTTCAGAGTTAGGGAGAGTATAGCAAGAACAATCCTTAGCCATACCAAGTATTGATCAAATAATATCAATTAGTTCTTGTGGTCAACCTTTTAATATACAGTTATTCAAGTGGATGCAAAAGAAGAGAAAGCTGATGCAAAAGAAGAAAATCCACTGATGCAAAAGAAGAGAAAGCTGATGAGTTTTATATGGCTGGCTACATAAATCTACTAAATAAATAAGTTCCAAGCTAAGCTAAAGTGGTAGAAGCCAACCAGTTTCTACACTGTGATATTGTGCATATATCCACAGTTTGTTAAAATGCTCTCAGTTATGCCTCTGTAAAAGGTGGC